CTTTTATTGACATTATTTTTTTTTTTTATTTGTACAATCTTTCCTCTCAACATTTATTATCTCCACCAAGGAGGTAATGTTTTCTGACATATTTGTCAGTTTGTCATCAAGTTTTAGAGTGGGATCACGCTGAATCAGATTATTGATTCATGTTTCACTTTCTTTAATGCATGGTCTTGGTTGAGATAGATGCAATTTATATACAGTATATTCTGTCTGTTGTTTATTGTTGTCACATGTACCTGCTGTCTCACTCAGCTGACTTTGGATCCAAGATGGCTGGGAATACAGCCGACCCTGCAGAGACCCGGGCTGAACCCAAACTCACCAAGAAGCAGGTGCTCATGTTGTATTAAAGACACCTTATGTCCTATTTAATAATGCAGCATTAAGAACATGGCCATAGACTAAGAGTGACTACAGAGTTTACTGTTAGAGAGAGGAACATTTATATAGGTCGGTACAGTGATTCCACTATGTTTTAAAGCCTTTTCTTTGTTGTTTTAAGCAAACTTTAATGAGGATAATATCGTGAATCTCAAATATTTTAAGATAATCATGCCATTACATTTTCATAACTTCAAATGCCCAGGACCAAGTATTATCCCTATGATAATATGCCACCAAAAATAACCTTATTTCATATTTAGTAGATCACCTGAAATGACTTTTTCCTCATTGTTAAAATCTGATTAAAATGGTCTTTTTTATATATATTAGTATTATCAAGAATGAATGTTGTCATTACAAATAATTATAGCAACAACATTTATTTTTATTATGTTTGTATTGTACATATGATGCTATTATGACACCCCTTTTTGTGGAGGTGTGGATTGATTTATATTAATCAAATGTGTTCTTCTTTTTCTACAAACAGCTCAAAGCCCAAGAGACAACCACTGGTTGCAGCTCGGCACCATGGAATAAACCCAATCTCAGTGCAGAACTCCAGGTGAGCTAACTAACACGATAACATGAAGATGAATACATTAACGCGGTGCAGTCCTCACTGAAAATGTGTCTTACAGGCGACGCATTTTGAACAATCTTCACAAAGCTATCCGCGGCAAGGCAACCTCAACAAACAACAAACAAAGGTAAACAGATGGAAGCCATGTGTAAATGTGAAGAAGACTGTGAAAGTACAATGAAAGAAAAGACATCGGATAACAGGAAAACCTTTCTTTCTTTCCAGCCTGATCTCAAGTCAATGCAGTCTCTGACAGAGTGCCAGCAGCTTCTTCAAAAACTGGCAGAGGAGGTGAACAGCATCGCTCAGGTACCACAGAAAACATTCAGTCCTCTTGAAGACTACTTTATTTTACAGAAATGTTATATTACTGTCACTGGGGTGGGTAAGTCACAAGGGAAGACAAGCTATACACACACAAGACTAATCACAGAGACACAGCTGGAGAGGGGGGGCAGGAACCCAAGGGCAGCAGGTGAACACAATCTGACCATCACTGGACAACTAAAAGACATGTAGTAGAACCTGACAACACACAAAGAGGGAACATATATAACATATATAAAGTGTATTGCACATTACTTTTTTTTTCTATAGTCAACAGCAAGTTTATTGCACCCGTTTTCTTATGAGAGAGTTATGAGCAGTGTTATTGGACAGCAATGTCTTCCAGGGGCAAAGGGCAATTGCAGAGGCTTTGCACATAAAGGGGCCCTATTCTGCTCATGTTCAGGTTCATATCAGTATTTAGTGACTCTCCTGTGACGTGTTTCAATGCTTTAATGTTCAAAAAGCTCTTCTCATACTGCCTGTGCTGCAGCACCTCTTTTCACCCTCTGTCCGAAACCAGAGCCCAGTCCGCTCTGATTGGTTAGCTGGCCGGCTCTGTTGTGATTGGTCAACCTCTTAGAGATGTCCCGCCCCATAGCCTATCAAGTACAATGTGTTGGAGCGCTAGCCAATAGAAGCGCAAATGTTACATAGTGATGTCACTATGTAAGTAAAGTAAACAAAGGAGTCCAATGGAGGCGTTTCAGGCAGGGGGGGAACAGGGATTTTAGCCTTTGCAGAGCATTTACATGCAAAACCTAACACGCTAGAGGAATAACAAAACGGCAAAGAATATAATGGGAAACTAGTATTTAGATCATGTCTGGCCAAGCTGCATTACTTTGACTATTTAAAAAAAAGAACCGTTAAGATGATTAAAAATACAATTGTATTACATTCCCTTGTTTCAGGTGGAGCGTGTCAGTGAGAGGGCTGCACCAGGGGGGGGCAGCAGAGAGCCAGGCAGCCTGCAGAGCAGCAGGAGGCTGATCCTCAAATGGGCCGAGGAGCTGGAACTAAACATGGTTATTCACCCTTTGATGAAATCATTAACCCTTCATATTTCCCTTTCTATCGTCTACAATCGTATTGGCCTGACTTTCTCTTTTTCTACTTACAATAGAGCAATAGTTTTTTTAATGTTGTCAAACATTAAGCACTGTAAGTTATTTCTGTATACTGAGGCCCCTTTCTTGTTGTAGCTATAAGTCATGGTTATATAGTTAAGTAACTCTGGTTCTCCATTTAATGTATTCCCCAGGTAAAAAAGGAAACCAAGCCAACAGATGAAAACAAAACAAGAAGAGATGATCCAGGAGAAAAAGAGAAAACAGATCTGGAAAAAGACAATGAAAGGCTTCAGCAGTGGGCAGTGGAGCTGCTGAAAATCAAAGAGGTGTGTGTGAGACAAATATGAATCAATTCCTCTTAAACCAAATCTTGCTGGTTCACTGTGTGTGTGTGTGTGTGTGTGTGTGTGTGTGTGTGTGTGTGTGTGTGTGTGTGTGTGTGTGTGTGTGTGTGTGTGTGTGTGTGTGTGTGTGTGTGTGTGTGTGTGTGTGTGTGTGTGTTTCCAGTCTAACGGCGTGTCTGATGAGGAACTGAAGAAGCTGCTGTATCCCAGAGGACGCAAAGATTCAAAGATGGCCGCCATCCTCCCTCTGCTGGAGTTTGTGGCTTGGTCCCTGCTGTCAGAGGACACTGAGGTGTGTACGAAAATGTATGTCTCTAATGACACGAGACAATATTCTAAGAGTCACTTCTGATTGATGAATATGACCCTATAGGAGGCTGTATCCAAGCTGTGGCTGCCAACCAAACAGAAGGCCTGGAGGACAGGAAGTGGAAGCCCCAGATACATTCCTAACTCAGGTGACTCCTCCACTGCCTGTGGTTAGAAAAGTCTTTGAAATAAACCCTCATTTTGATCACAGATATCTTAACAGTCACGCGTTAATAGCACAATGGATTTCAGTGGATGGATGCCCCATTGATATGCCTTTTGGTGGGGACCTAGAGTGTGTTGATCATATTTATATAATTTTGGAACTAATAAATACAAAACAAATCATAAATAAATATTAGGAACATAGTAATATTTTTTAAATGTGTTATAAGTAATAAACTGTATAAATAACAGGCTTAAGGAAGTGTCTTAAAATTATTTAACCAATCAAATTAGTTTCTGAAAAAAATGTGGTCATGTTTGATTTCTGGACTACAATAGGAGATAGAAACCTTATTTTTTCCCTTAATGAATATGTTTATGCATTCGTAGATTTGCATGTTTTTCATGCTTTTAAATGTATGCATAAAGTTATAGACCATTTGTAACAAAAATAAATGTTGCGTATGCATAATGGGATATTGTATTGTCTTTCAGTGTGGGAGTGGATTCAGAGCGCCCAAGGTAATCTGGATTTATATATTATAGGTGGTCTACAACAGAAGATTACAACATTGAATTACTGCTTGTTACAACCTGCTGTTACTTACAATATTCCTGAATTTGAATCCTAGTCTCTGTGCGGTTGGACATCAGAACCAGTCATCCCTGGCTGGATGTGTCCTCAGATCGCCTGAAGGTCCGAGAGGCAGCAGTGTCCTCCACTGATGTCCCAAACTACAGCCAACAGTCTGCTCAGAGGCCCTGTGTGCTGGGGGACATTGTCATCACCGAAGGGAGACACTACTGGGAGGTGGAGGTGTCCCCTAAGGGCAGCTGGAGAATAGGTGTGGTGTCAAAGACTGCTCCCAGGAATCTAAAGTCCACCATGACTCCCAGAAGTGGATACTGGACCCTGTGGAGGGGCGCCAGTCTGTGGGCCTGTACCGAGAGACCCACTAAGCTGCGGAGGGCGGCTCCCCCCCGAGTGATCGGGGTGTTTGTGGACTCTGAGGAGGGTCAGGTGTCTTTTTATGATGCTGAGAGAAGGGTTCACATTTATACTTTCTCTGACGTCTTCAAACACAGCCTCATCCCTCTGTTCAGCTACCTGGATGGAGACACGCTCCTTAAAATCATCCCAGCACAGATTTCAGAGAAGATGTGACTAATATGAATCAATGTGACGAAATCAGACATCGTGGTCCTAGAGGAATATTGACCTTGATTTAAATATAGTAGATTCAAATCCTGAATACTATAGGACCACCTTCTTTGACAACTTTATTTGCCAATGTTCTCGTGTTTTTTACTAAATAAAATGAAATGAAATCATACACAATTTTTGGTTTTGTTATTTAGACATACACTGACACAATGAGTTTATACTCATTAAAAATTGTTTTGTAAAATCCAATGCATTATGTAAACAGCGGTAGCATAGTGCACACAATATGTTACTGTTTCATAATTGTAATGTTTTTTAATTTTAATTTTTTTTAATTAATATTATCATTATTATTTGATTATGATTATGATTATGATTATTATTGTTATTATTGTTATTATTTTATCATTATTTTATCATTATTGTTGTTGTCATAAGGGGTAGCCTCGTGCAAACAATATGTTACCTTCATCATTTTCATGGTGTGATTGTTATTATTACGAATAATATTGTTGTTGTGGTTATTATGTAGTTATTTTTATTGTTATTACAATGGCTAATTCAACCAGCTGAATCATTGTGGATGTGCTAGCGGAACCTTTGTGTTATCGTGCGACCCGGGGGGGGACTCTTTATCTGTTACACATTGAACGGCAACGTCACAACAAATCCCCACAATGGCGGAGGGAAGTGTTTTGGTTGAAGGGTCGTCCTTCATGGACCCTTTTAAAGGGTTTTTGTTGACATATTTCATGCCAGAGTCATGTTACGACGAGTTCTTTCTCAATTTCAACTTGTTGGACGGTAAGTGGCTTCTTTGTGTTAAATACCGGAAGTTTATTGAAGGGAAAGACACTTGAAGATGTTGCAATGCGTAACGTCATGCTGATAATAACTCAGAAACATGCTGTACATGCAACCTTAGGTCAGCAGACAGGTAGCTGCTATCGGGTCGTCAGTTTGTCTATTTTTAAAAACGCCGAATTCATAGTGCATTTATTCAGAATGTTATTTCAATGAATCATGAGTCACTTCATTTGGCAGCAGTGGAGCTACCTGTCACCTACTAAAGTGACCTGTTTTTCTTTGCCAATGTGTTGTCATTTAACTTTTATACCTGGTTTATGTTCACTGGAAACTGACCTGACATCAATCACTGATCACCACAGTGAAGAAAAAGACAAAACTGCCATATCCGAGATCAAGAGCCAAGCCTGACTAAATCAATGGTTAACACTGATCAGACTTATTCTAACTTTATGACACAAAATATTCCTGAATGCCTACTTAAGCACTGGGTGACATGTCCCTTCATTGCTTCATGAACACACACACACTATATTTTATTTTATTACACACTGTCCTGCAGCTTCATTACTCCTAGAGCCTGTATGTTAATGAATCCGCGGCTGCAAATAGTCCCAAACAAATGCACTATTTCCTCCTGTTCATGAAACCTTGTGTGTGTGTGTTTCTGTGTGATCTATGACAGCCAGCTAATCTTTTTATATTTCTTAATTTCAGTACCATGTCTGAAGATTTTACTAAGCAAAGGCCTGGGAATCGGCATCATCCTGGGATCAGTGATGGGTAAACCTCATCTCCACTTCTCTTTATATATTTTGAGTGAATTTCGAAAACATTTTAGTCATTATTGTTTTTGTCGTTTTGTAATCCCTTTATTTCCTCCCTTCTTTACAGTGAAACTGCCTCAGATCTTCAAGCTGATGGGATCAAAGAGCGCTGAGGGGCTGAGCTTCCAGACCATCCTGCTGGAGCTGCTGGCCATCACAGGAACAATGGCCTACAGTATCCACAACAAGTTCCCTTTCAGGTTGGGACGCAACGCAATGCAAATCAACCGTTTGAACTAGAGATTAACACAGAGCTCTCTGACTTCTGCCTCTGTAGTTTCATATGTTGAGTAACATGTGGCGGGTGTTTCCACAGTGCCTGGGGCGAGGCTCTGTTCCTCATGCTGCAGACGATCGCCATCGGCTTCCTCATTCAGCGCTATGGAGGAAACACCAGCAGAGGTAAGACTGCGTAGAGGACAGCAGCACTTCCCGCTCTTCCGACATGCCCCGCCCCTTTTGGGTGGAAGCAGCCTTTCTGATTTGACGTTCTCCCCCAGGTCTGCTGTTTATCGTGGTGTATGTCGGGCTGCTGATTCTCGTGCTGTCTCCGGTCACCCCCCTGTCCGTGGTCACCTACCTGCAGGCCTCTAACATGCCAGCCATCATCATCGGCAGGGTAGGACAAGACCTGTCATTTATAGTGTTGGAGCTATTCATTATTTTATATACTTATTTGTTTTACTTTTATTTATCGGCATATTCCATTAAACAGATACACTTTGTTCAGAATATAAACTTTACATATTGCAAAGGTAAATCACAACAACAAGAAAAAACAAATATAAAACTAAAATACAAAATGAAAATATATATAAATAAATAAAAATAAAGGAAAAAACAAAATCTTTTAGAGTTAAATTAAAGCTGATTACAAAGCAATGACTTGTACAGTTCATATTTGGTCATGGGTCGAATAATACAGGGATGATTTCACAAATTCTTCTTTTCTGTTGCATTATTTAATAGTTAAGCATTCATTTTATTGCTCTTTTAATAGAATAAATGTAACGCCACGACGGCAGTTAGATTTGTTATAGTTTGTTATGGTTTGAGGACAAATAACTGCGACATATAGTCATACACTTTTGACATTTAACATTTTAATCATTATTAAACCAGTTTAGTGATTGCTACCTGTTTCCATGCTGTTTGTCTCAGCTGATCCAGGCCGTCTCTAACTTCCGGAATGGACACACTGGCCAGCTGTCTGCCATCTCCGTCTTCCTGCTGTTTGCCGGTTCCCTCGCCCGCATCTTCACCTCTCTACAGGTAAGATAACATTTCTGTTTCCATCTTTCATTTCCTATAAAAATCCCCATGTTGAAAAACTCACTTTGCGCCATATTGTCCTCTCACAGGAAACTGGAGACACGCTGATGGCCCTCACCTACGTCATATCCTCCACCTGTAACGGCACCATCGCCCTGCAGGTGCTCTACTACTGGAACAGCTCTCCAGAACACAAGAAGAAGAAGAAGAAAAAGAAGAGCGAGTAGGCAAAAGGACAGTCGCTAAACTTGAATCAACGAGCAACACTTTTCTTTTCATATTCGACTATCTCAAAGAAGTGTCTTTAAAACTTGAATTGACAGACACTGGGAAGTATGGGGCATCGATTCTGCTGGACCAACCCTCGAAGGAAGGATGGGAACATGACATGCTGAGCAGGCTTTATGATTGACAGTTATCTGTTCTGTTGGTGGTGTGTATCTGTCCCGCTGTACAATACACTGTTATCACATTCCTCTCATCCAGTTTTCCTCATTGCTGTCGGGCTCGTATTTTCAAATGTTTTGGAACATGTTTGGCTGTTGATTTTTCAAATCCAGGTCCTGTATTTGTAATACTAATCAACAAGAAAAGCTTTTTGGGAAATTATTTGAAACGGTTTTGGATGCATGTAAAGACTGATTTGTTGTTTTATCATTTAACATAAACAGAATTCCTCACAAGCCTCTACACTTGCAAGATCTTTTCTGTGGTCTTAATTAGAATTTATTTTATGGAGTTTTAAATATGTAAAGTATAATGCACATTTCCAGTTATTTCTGATACCCAGCTAATGATCCAAAGAGAGTTTACAAATCACCTTTTACTTATTAAAATGAGTACTGACTAGTTATTATTTCTGATGCTAACATGTTTCTCAATAACTACACGGATAACACTTACCCGCCTTATGACAACATTGTGTCTCTTACCGGAAGAAACTCCATCATGTGACATGGAGTTTGGAGAACTTGTTTGTCCTGAAAGTGCCTGTTTTCCCGTCAGTCAACAAAATTGAGTAGAGAGTTACACTTAGCTATGGTGACTGGAAATATTACATCAGTAAACTGCATATCTATAGAAGGGATTTACATTCTTAAAATTACACATATTGTCTTTACAGCACTAACCTTGGCCCTGTTGTCCATTCTAACAAAGACAACAACAAATTATATATATATTTATTACTCTGAGGGTGGGAGTTTACCAGAGCCAAATTAGTTCCAAACAATGTCATATAAGTTAACATTTCTATTGTTTTTGTTGAGGTCTTTCAACCCTAACCCATCTGCATATACAACAAGATAAGCTAGAACTTTATTCTTAATGTGTAACTTATTAGCAGCTAAAAACAAAACCTGAATCTATTTTATAATTAACACAACATAAAAACATACCAAGGCTGCGTCAGTGTTTTTATGTTACAAATTCGAAGCATAAATTGAACAGAATTAGTGGAATATGAGTCTTTGGGATGCTTTGAGCTAGCTGCTAGCATTTCACAATGAAAATGCTAACAAATAAACAGTTACCATTAGCATAAGCATAACAAACGCTAAGTTGCCAGCTAAGACTAGCTAGCTAGCATTGGTTAGTAATGTTAAGGAAGATTCATGTAAACTGATACTAATTGAGTTGCTAATGTTGGCTTATGTATTACTAGAAAACAGAACACATTAACAGTCAGCTACTTGGAGCTACACTGAAAAACTGCAACATTGACTTCAATTAAATGTACAGAATCAGAATACCTTTATTCGTCCCACAGAGGGGACATTTGCATTTGTTACAGCAAGGAAAGAGCCAAAGACAGCTTAATATTAACCAAGAAGCAGGCATACAAAAATATTCAAACACAATTTACAAAATACACAGTTCTGAAGATAAAGCAGCCAGGTCTATATTGCACAGCTATTAATGGCATATATATTGCACATATTGCTCATCATTGGTATTTCACAACAAGGGGTGTTATAGCATAGTCATGTTGTTATATGCAAGGGCTACCAGGGACACATTTCATATAACTGTATTAGGTTCATTGAAAGCAATAATATTAAGTTAAAGTTATAATTGCTTTCAGCTAACCTAAAAAGGTTATGTAAAATGTGTTGACGTGATACATTTAATTAAAGTTAATGTTTGAGTTTTTTCAGTGTACCTTCTAATTATTTGTCTATCACAAGATAGTCACACCCCCAAAGCATTGTCTCTTTCCTTCTCAATGGGACCAGAATTGACGAAATGAACATCCTGCTGTATTGAAGAAGACTTCAAATAAGTTTGTGAGACCATAAACTCATTAGGAAAGGTTTACTGTTGTTATAAATTAAGTGAGAAGTATTGTCTTTTTCCTCATAGACTTCTATACAATCAGACCCTCTACTGTAAAGGTATGTTTTTGGACAGCAGCTGGTGGAGGAGGGACAGTAGGAAACGTGGGTTTGAGGGGGGCAGATGGCTGGAGAGCTGGAGGAGGGGTATACAGGGCCCCCCACCCTCAAAGCAGCAAAAGAAAAGAGTCGACTGGTTTACACTGACCATCAGAATGTATTTTCCATGCTGTGAGAAAAAGATTGTAACGTCAGTGGGACATATTCACACGCCACTCACTAACTGCCTGTTGCCATGGCTTGACTTGTCACCCCTGCCAAGGCGAGACCCTTACCTGTTGCTTCTCAGTCAGTGGGCTTTTGGGGACTGGCTGTGGGTTCAGATGTCTTCGGTTACGGTAATCAGATCAGCAAACAAGGGATGTCACTGGAAAAAGGAAAGTCTTTTCAGCACACTTGAAGACATGTCTCCTTTCCTCCCCGTGCCGGTCTGTTCCCCTAGAAATTAGAATAGTGCGGGACCCTTCCCTGCTCTCTGGTTTCAACAGAATGAATGCAATGACCCCTTGTGACAGCAGAGGCTGCTATTGCAGTTAACTGGGAATACACACACACTCAAACCACCACTCAAACAGAAGGCTGGACCTTTCCCCACTCACCACTCACTGTTTCTTATTAAATGTAAACTCTATGTTCACATGTTGAGTATAATCAACTACTTTACTGCTGCTCACAGTTTTCCCGGGCAGTTATGGATTCAACAATGGCTGTCACTTTACATTTCTCCCAACTTAGCTTTTGTTTTTACATGCCTTTTGAGCTCAGAACTCTAATAAATACACAAGTCATTTGCAACCAATTAACAACAGTAAAGACATATTTTATTAAAAAAATACATACACATCTATCATGTTGCAGAATGTGAATGTGTTTACAAGAAGATCACTGAAAATGTAGTTTTTCTGTGTTTTCCCTTCAATATCCACTATTGCAACTTAAGCATGATTTAACTTTGGTTTGTGCATGGTTCTTAGTTCTTAGTTTCTTGTCTCAGTTCTTGCTCTTATTTGGTTAAAGGTGGGGTAGGTAAGTTTGAGAAACCGGCTCGAGATACACTTTTTGTTATATTCCATGGAATGCTCTTAACATCCCGATAGCAATGAATATCTTAAGTGCTTTGACAAAAAATCCATAAAAAAATGTCATCTGTGGAAGCCGTAGTACTGTAAAAAGCACGACCAATCATTTTAGCCGGCCCGGCTAAAATAACTGGATGGCCTACCTGCCTGTCAGCCTTCCATCTGTGCACAAACTTATCTCGTGCCCTCATTGGTCATGTGCGCGTTCGTGTGTTGGAGGAGGGGCTCTGTAAGGAAGTGGCAGATTTTTTCCGGCTGTGTATTTTCAAATTCTAGCGATCTCGAGCTGGTTTCTCAGACTTACCTAACCTACCTTTAAGGTTAGGAATCTATGGAGGTCTTGGTTTAATATACAGAGTTAAAAAATACAAGTTGCATAGTTAAATCAGGAAACTCTTTACTTCAAGTGGACCTATCATGCTATATTTGAATAATATAGTATAGGACCATACCTATATAAGGCATATTTATACTTTTTTTTTTTTCAAAATACCAAACAGATCATGCATTTTAGCCATGCCTCATTTTGCTCAATTTGACATTTTTTAGCTCTGTTTTTGCAAGGGCAGATTCAGTGAGAACAGCACCATCTACAGGCCTGGCATATGTACTACAGCGTCTCCAGCGCTTTCGCAATGGCCTCCTGATTGGTGGAGTTGGCCCAATCGCCGTAGCGCCACTGTCCTGACGTCAGGACAGTGTTCAAATCTGGATCAGTTTTTATCAAATCCGTTGCAGCCCCTTTTTTAGAGATTTGGGTATGGAGGAAAATAGAGAGGGTTGTGTTTTCTGACACTTGGTGAGTTCCCTGGAACACCGGGGACACATATTCATGTATAAAAGACGTACAAAAGTGCATTTTGCATGATAGGTCCCCTTTAAAGGGGACCTATCATGCAAAATGCACTTTGTGATGTCTTTTAAACATACATATGTGTCACTCTTTTCCTCAGCCCGACTCAGCCTGGTTGTTCCTGGCCCTAGAACCACGATTTTATGGGGCCAGAAAAACTGTGAATTAGGACCCGCTAGCCGGTACTAGGCCAAGTGGAAACGCAACCAAAGACGGGCCGCTGACGTCACAGCTCTCTTAAACAGGGCTCCGCGCTGTAGTGGAAACGCGCCATAACAGGGCTTCAAAAGAGGGGTATGAGCAGTATGAGGCATGGCTACAATGGGTGATCTGTTTGGTATTTTGAAAAAAAAACTTCACAGACATGTTTTGTATAGGTATGGCCCTACAATATATGTTTCAAATATAGCATGATAGGTCCACTTTAAGTTACATTTATTAAACGTTTTTTTTCAAAATTCCAACTATTAATACTACTCAGAGGTGGGAAGAAACTAAGTACATTTACTCAAGTACTGTACTTAAGCAAATGTATTTGCTACTTTGTACTTTTATCCCACTACAATTCAGAGGTAAATCATGTACTTTTACTCCACTACATGTATTTAATACCTTTAGTATACTTTGCAGATCTGGATTAATGTTTGGAAATATAATCAACTCTTAAATCAGACTTTAGTTCCACCTGGAGTAAATTCACAAGCTACCCTGCAGTATACAAAGTCATTCAAACTAGCTGCACCTTTACCAGCTTTGAGAACACTTTAATGATCAATCATTATAAAACATATCAGATATATTATTCTGAAATGGACCAATCTGCACAATGACTACTTTTACTTTTGGTACTTTAAGTGTGTTTTATGCTAATACATTTGTACTTTTACTTGAGTAACATTTTGATTGAAGGACTTTTACTTGTACCAGAGTATTCCTACACTGGTATATTTCTACTTTTACTCAAGTACAAGATCTAGAGTACTTCTCCCACCTCTGACACTACTACTAATATTCTAAATCTACTCCCAGTACATAGGGAGATAACTGATAATTGTATTTTTATGGGAAATGATTATCCTATAGCTCCATAGCTGCCTCTGTTGTATGCATTAGCTCACATCCAAACATAAGTAAAAAGATCATGGTTGGCTCATCTGATGCTATCTAGCGATCTTACACTACGTAAAGACGACATTCCCTATATGTGAACACCATAGAGAGATGCACAATGTGTACCACATATGTTCCAAAACTACTAAAGATGTGGGCTTTCAATATGGTTGCCAGAGGGTGTGTTTCATCACCTGCATCCCCATTTAACTTTCTATTGAACAGGCCTTTCTTCACCATGCTAATGGGTGCG